ACCCTCTCGTACACAGTTGGTTTATCCTCACTAAACTGACCAATATTTTTCGTCTTCTCAAACCCACCAATATTATCATACTCATTGCACCAGATACTTGAGTTGATGGGCGTCTGTTTCATTGTGGATGACAACACCAACGACGACTGATTGATACCAGTTGATGAGCTTAGCAGTGGATCAGAAGCTGTTATTGTTCGGCTTTCAGAAAGTTGTCTAACTGCAAGACTACCACCACTGCTGTATTTTATTATTAGCTCCAGTCTAGCATTAAAATGTGTTGATAGGTGGTCTACATGCTGATCAACTACACTGACGGTCTCACGGGTATCCCTACCTTCTGCAACTGCATCTGCCTTTAATTCCACTTCACATTCAAGTTGTACAGAACCTTTGTTCAGCTCATTAGTAGTAGGCATTCCCCTCATCTCATCATGATCAACCAAAGACAAAAGTGCACTATCATTATCACAAATATTCACTTTACTGTCATTTATCTGGTCAACTTCATCATTTTTAAACTCTTTAATAACAGAAGTAGACAATTTGGGTTCCTCCTCACAAATCCTTAAGAGTTCTAAACCTTTACTCTGACTAGTAATAATTTGTGATCTTGTGGAGTCAGAACTCGACTCTGAAGCAGTAACTCTCTCTATGACACTATTCAACAATGGCTTACCAGTTGCAACTACAGGCTTCTTGACCACACCGTTATTGTCACACAATTCGGAGTCAGACCTTGATTTCACATTTAGCTTATCACTGAACTTACTCACCGGTTCACAGTTCACCTTTGTATGCACCTCTTGCAAACGTGTAAAACACAACCGTGTTTGTCTTGCAGCTTGTAACTTATCTGTTGAGGATGTACCACGAAACCTATTACACTCACTATGTCTATATCCGTTACTAGACACCATAAATTTTTCTCGATACTCGTTTTTCGAAGGTCGCGAAAAGATCCAAATGGCGTTGATAATCCGTGTCTAAAGAGAAGCTGGCTGCGGATCCAGTAAGTACACCCGGAATAGTTCTAGAAGGCACTCCAGAAAATGAACGAAGTAATGAAAACCGTCGAGGAACCTATCCCTAAGTTCCTTTTGTTACGAAGACGCTACACATCGATATATACTATGAACCTTCTTCGCCTTTGACTGCGAAACACCAGTATTGTAAGAAAGAAGTTCTATTGTTTGGAAATCGAAGCGGAGAATAATACAAGTTTTTTTCGTTTTCGTTCGTCTTCGCCGAACTTGTTTGTACACTATCGAAATATTCGAACATTCGAGCTGCCCGCCAGTGGTGACCAAGGCCAATAAACCAACGTTCAATGTTCACTTCCACTGATAATTAGCTTCTCACAAGTAGCATATTACTCCTATGCTGTGTATACATTCAGTGCGTCAAATGAAGCAACTGCACACTAAAACATGCTGTTCTTGCGTTACTCTTCTGTATAAATAACGCCCTACGAAGAGACGATAGCGCTTATTCAAGGATGAACATTGTTCAAGTTATTTCGAAATCTGTTCCGACAAACATTGAAATAAGACTGCAAAGATTTGATTTTTTCACACCCATTCCGCATCTCAGTTTTGCTAAAACGTCCGAATGGCTGAGAAAGTCATGAGCGTAGTCTAAAATATTAAAGGAACGAAATTTCTCCTTAAATGTGACTAAATAATAATACATTTACTCCTATCTAAAGTTAACCAGGCAGTAAAAGCACTGTCTCTTTGAATTAGTTGATGGACTCCAGCCCGCCGTCTAACTCATCAGCCAGCTAAATCACCTCCTTAGCCGTGAAACCCGACAAGTACAATGAAGCCCTCATTACACCATTATTCAGAAGAGTCCTCTACTAGTTATGAAAACACGCGTCATTTATGTAAACCATTTGACAATTCTCACCGCGAGTCATAATCTACGACTGCTTTCAGTACTCCGCACGCACTGAAACGTATGATCTCAGTAGAAGCTAAGTTTTTTGTGATCAGACTGGTGATGACGTTTATCTCTATGCTTATATATTTCCCCCGAAGTAACTTGTCAATGTAAAACAACCAAATGAAAGCAGTTCATATTTTCATCGATCAGCTAATTGTAGTCTCTATCCACCGTCTGAATTAGTCCAAATAAACTCATTATTTTGTAGAATGGTGGTCGAAGGAAATGAGTTCGGCTAGTGGAAGCGAAATTTCTCAACCAATGAGACATGTGACGTATCGATTGCTATTGAACGAGACCACTTTTGAGGTTTATCTAGAGCGGGGTTATGTAGTGAAGCGCTACCGTCTGGTCTACAAGGTCACTGACACCTGTTTTCTGAAGTATCGTTTGGTTCTTTTTGTGCATCAATTGTTGTCGTGTCCATAAATGCAACGTTAATATGTCACTCCAAATACGTTACCCATGAATGACCTAAGATACCCAGTCCCTCATGTAATTATACATATGTAAATATATATGTACCCAGGTAGAATCAGCTTGTAACATCTGTGATATTTGTTGAAATTCGGGTTTTCGTCGTTGATGTTTTGAGTAGAGACTGTTTTCTCATAGATATACAAATTTGTGTATACTAGCCCCACTTCCAGCAGTGTTCCCACATCCTCTCCCAACTATCCGTATCTCTGCATGTATATATTTTGTTAAAGTTGTCGGCCTCTTAAACAATGGCTTTGGTTGTGTGGACCCAAAGTTTAAAACAATGTAGCGATGCTGGTAAAGTGCGAACTGACTGTTGGAAAGACACTGAAATCGCACGCATTTCGGCACCGAAGATTCTTCTGTATTTCTTGTGAGTATAACATTTGATGGCAGTTTATCTATATATTTTCCGCGTTTGATGCATCTGTTCATCTCTGACTGTCACAATTATCTCACTGATCGGCATTTCCAACACCTCTTATCTCTACTTTTACCATATTCAGAATATTTTCACTCTGAATTGTTGCAGAAAACACCTTAGGCTCCGTTATATATATATTGTTTGCAAGTGCATATTCACTACGTATTAGTCGAGGTGAATACAACATAAATGTACTTCAAATCCTTTTCATGACACATGTAAGCTAGCACATTTCCAGTGCTAATAAGTGCTTGGATATGTCATTCAGTGTAAATCAGGAAAGTCTCCATTTGTTATTAGAAATTCGAAAGTCCATGATGTGGTCTATTAGAAGCGTCCTGCAGAAACAAAAAAATAGGAATGAGTTTGGGAAGCCATACACTCAGAAGACATTCAACAGTTCCTGTTATGGAGCTCAACCTACACAACTGTCATCGCTTTTTCTGGGGTGTTTATCTGAAGTGCCTAGAAAGAAGAGTGATTATGCTTTGCATGAACGATGATTCTCGGAATTTTAGTCGATGTGAAGTGTGAATTTACGCGATTTACTTCTTTGTCATACCTGTTTGTAAGTGATGTTCGAAGTTGCGGAAGTTAGACTTGTTAGCTGTATCTATTTTGCGTCCAACCTTTTTAAATGACAGTGTGCCTGATAACTGCGCCAAGGTTACAGCTACGGAAACAACTGTCTTATCAGTCATTCGTTTTTTTAGTGATTTTGTGGGAGCTGTTCGTGACAGTTCTGGATTTCTGTAAAGTCTCTTCAGGTTTTAGAGTTGTCACTTGTCAGTTTTGATTTTGAATCGCTTTGTAGGCTGTTCCCCATTTTGGCTGTCTATAAATAATGAGAAATAAGTTTTGGGACTCACAAAAGTCACCTCCACTACGCAAATTCTCACTATTATTCCTACTTGTTAGAAACCGTTTTTGTGGTTCTTTCAATGGAAGACTAATGGTATTAAGAGCTTCGGAATTACTTGCGATTGATAATATGCAGTGATATTGGTACCTTATGATTTCGGGTGATGAGGTCTGATATTGACTGCAACTAACTTTGTTGGCATTTACTTCTAGTTCGTTGGAGTGTTTAAGAAACTTCGTGCATTGCCTGAGTAGTGTCGTAAACACTTAAAATGGGTCTTTTACTAAGTAGTTATTTGCGGGCGAGAATTTGTCTATAGTTTGATACTTTTGAGTTTGCACAGGTGTCTGTAAGTGTGACATCCAAAGTATGTCAACTTACTGTAATGGTGAATTAGATGGGGACAAATTTTTAACTATTTCTACCCTGCATTCTCAGTCCCTGAAGGGTTTGTTTGGCTGTTGTACATCCTCAAACCCACGTGTTTGAGATGGTGACCCACACTGTCATCTTTGTTCAAATGAGTTGCAAGACATTTGAACGGATTGGAATGCTGAGAAAGTAAGTTTTTTGAAGTGAAAATACAGCCGTGTAACTTGCATATGGAAGGTGGTGGGCAGAAAAGTAGTGTCATACATATACCTAAACTTCTGAGTAGTTTGTTTTTGCAATGGAGGAGTAAGGGCCACCTAACCGTTACCAATAATCAGTACTTTCGGTTTTTACACTGGCATCAGTTCTTCAAGATTTTGATACTCGATATAAGCCATGTAGGTCGGGTGTAAAACAGCCGGTTAGGATGCTTATAGTCAGCGATTGACGACTGCTGATGACACTGTTCAAAGGCGTTGATATTGGATATGTACTCAGTCTCAGTTATCTTGAAGAATTTGCCGATCCGCACTAGTCTTAAACAAATTTTTTCTCCATGTATTTTTATATTCAATAAAGTTTCAATTTATATATGTTTCTCCAGTTGTATGCCATTCGCTGTATAGTATGGCCACTTTAACTGCTTCACTTCTCTACTGGGTTCAAGCGGTAAGGTAGTACGTATGGAAATTCCGTTTGGTTAATTTTGAATTTATTGCAAGCTAGCTCTGTGATAGTATTTTTCAGTTTGCTTCCTCTAAAGAATTACACGAAATTTGTGGCATGCCTTACACACTCCAGATTTCCCATGTCTATCTTTACCGACTTTTACAGCAGACAACATTTTTGGTCGTTTATGTCAATGTGTTAATTTTATCCTGAGATTCGCTTTTTCCCGTGTGTAATTCAACACTCATGGAGGCGTTTTCGGAAGGGAATGAATTATCCGAAAGTGATTTTAGTATATCTGAGTCAGTTAAATCCTATCCAACTTTTGTTTCTATGGGATTAAAGGATAATCTTTTAAAGGGAATTTATGCTTACGGTTTGTAATTTTTTGCCCAGTATATAATAGTGTCTTATAATAGGATTTGAAAAGCCATCACTTATCCAACAAAAAACTATCAAACAAATAATCGATGGAAGAGATGTGATTGCACAGTAAGTTCCTTATATGTTCAAAATTAATTGAATACATAAATATCATAGAGCTCAAAGTGGAACTGGAAAGACAGCAACATTTAGCATAGGAACTTTACAAAATGTTCAGCCTGAGGTTTGTCAAATTCAAGTTCTAATTTTGGCGCCTACACGTGAATTAGCTGTTCAAATACATCATGTAAGTTTTTATTGCATTTTTTAGAAAAAAATAATGAAAACAATGATGAACTCAGGTTAAAGGGTGGGTGGATGCTTTTCGTTTATGTGCGGTTTATCTAAAATCCATAAGTTTTTAATGTGTGTTTAAAAGTGTTGCCGTCAGTAATTAACTCACCACATTACAAGCTAGCACAGACTGAGTTCAGCTCAGGAACAATAAATCTGAGAAAACCAGATAGGCTTTAGGCTATAAAGAGGGTGTTTTGATCGTATATTTACCCTTCAACAGACTCTGGAATACAGACGTAATTACTAGCTCATGGATAATCCTCGTCCAGATGCTTTAATGAAAAAAAACAAAACACGTAGTTCGGCGAACAGTCTCTTTTCAGCGGCGAATTCATTCACTTGGCTGTACAATCGCAATTATATATGATTGTGTGTGTACATTAAGTTTGTCAGATAAAATTAAAAATAAGCTAGGGTTATTGTTGTCAATGCGTTTCAAAAATATGATAAGTAGTCAGATTGTGACTAAGAGGTGGGGTGAAGATTGGTAAGGGGGTAGTGGTGATACCTTGTCAAAAGCAGCTATTAACGCTAACATAAGAGAAATTGAATAATTGCATTATAGTTACGTGATAAGCCGAATACTTTGATGAGTGAGTTGTGATTAGAATGTGCATAGAAACGGAGCGAAGGAAATTATGGAATTATGTGGGAGCTCTAAAAATTACAAATGACACAAAGAGTTTGAAAAGGGAGACCTAGCTAACGGCACCCCTGAAGGGAAGAATTTCAGCATTTCTTAGGAGAACATTCTTTGCAGCAACGCTAAGGGTAGTATTGTTCTCCAGTCATTCATTGGTTTGCTGAAGCCTTATGGACAAGATCTTGCATCTGACCACCTCTGTGTGCATATATCAGTTCACCTGCTGCTGTGGAGCCAGGCAGATTGGTCGTTCAACGCACATCCTGTCCAAAAACGAACCGAGAACACTATCCCACAGCATGACGGCAAAACGGTAGAGTAGTGGCTCTACAAACAGTGTGATCATCATCGAACACCTTGTCAACAACACTAACCATTCCATCTCAACAAACGCCTCCTCCTTCAGATTAATCTACGCAGTCAATCAAGAATAACCTGAAGGTCTTAGCCATTCACTTGGAAAAACCGCTTGTGTGGCTGTTTTTATTTTCTAACTCCATATTAATGATTTAGGTGCATTAAACCATGTCGAGGTGTGTGGGCTGTCTGACTGGAGTCTAAGATCCAATGACTGGGGACTATTTGTTACATTGGTGATATGACTCGAAACCGTTCTCATTATGACATATGCATTTACTCTTTATTGATCTTTACCAACGGGACTAAATCCGCATGTTTCTTCTTGTAATTATCTTTTTCCTCTACAGATTTCCGTTTATTATAAGTTGTTTTTTGGTATTTTTAACCTTACTATGTTCGTTGTTCGGAAAACTCAGCGAGGCGTTTGAAGTAAACTCAGGAGTCAGACAAGGGTGCTTATTATCACCAATGATATTCCTAATCGTGGTGGACTGGATTATGCGTCAGACAGTGGGAAACGAGAAGACAGGGATATCCTGGACCGACATGAAGAACCTAGAACACATGGATTTCGCGCGTGGATGATTTATGTTTGGCGTCACATAAAATCGAAGACTTACAAGCGAAAATCGACAAACTGATCGATGAAGCAGCCGGCAAAGACAGGACTCCAGGTGGACATAGATAAGACGTAGGTTATGAAAATAACCAACCAACCAACAACAACAACAGCAGCAGCAGCAACATCCAGCGCCAATCACCATCAACGGGAGGGATTTGAAAGAGGTTACTTCATTCACTTATCTAGGGAGGGAGCATTGTCTGAACTACAGGAAGTCGGAACGAACGAGGATGTCAAATCGAACGAGAATCTGGAAAGCGAGAAACACATTCATCAACTTGAATCCAATCTGGAAATCTTCGTCACTCAGCCAGAATCAACGATAAAATTCGGTCGGAATTTCAATACAAACAGCGTCAAGTCAGTCAGTTCTTCTATACGGATCAGAAAGTTGGCGGGTGGGTTACAAAGAATATTTCCAACAGCCTGTTGCAGACGTTACCTTTATCAAAAACTGTCTTCGCCGGCTCTATACTGAAGATCAGATGGCCGGGGGACCGGAAAGAATCACCAACAACAAACTATGGGCACAAACAAACAAAAGAAGAACAAAACACTCATCCAACAGATATGCAGGAGAAAGTGGAGATGGATTGGACCCTGGCTGAAGAGGTCACCTCTGGGTGACATCACGCGCGTCAGGCCATTGCTCGAGTGGAACCCGAAAGGGAAGCACGTGGTGAGCGGGTTGTCAGTGTAAGGGTGACATGGAGGTGGTTGTGTGAAGATGATTTGAAACAGTATGGACTAATGTGGATGCAGGTGAAAAGTAGAAGACAGCAGAAGACAGAAGCAAGTGGAGACGTGCAGTTGAAGCCCTATGTTCCACTAGGAACCCAAGGGAACAATAATAATAAAAAATAATGTTTGTTGTTATGAAATATAGCGACCTGAGGTGTTGTGCTTTTCTACAAAGTTCTCTGTCAGTGTATTGTAGTTCTTAATTATGAAATGCTGACTTTTTTTGGTGTTGCAGGTTGTATCATCGTTGTCTGATTACCTATCTGTCAGATGTATAGCATGTTGTGGTGGACGAAACAATACAATGCAGATGGCTCGTGAACTTGATAAAGGTGTTCATATTGTAGTTGGAACACCAGGTCGAGTGTTAGGTATGTGTAGTCTTGTTGGCCTTGCCTGTTTATTCTTAAATGTTACTTTTGTTGACTTAGAATATATGCTGATGAAACGCAGTCTTCTGAACACCTTGGACACCTTTATGGCTGTGAGACCTGGCCATTGAGAGTGGAAGACATGAAAAGATTAGCTGTCTTCGATCATAGGTGCCTGCGTTCTATCTCCCGTGTGAAATGGTATTATAAGGTGAGCAATATTGAGGTTAGGCGTCGGTCGAGTGCTAGGCAAGCAGGAGGGGTTAGGACATGTGTTACGTATGCCTAGTCATCGCCTTCCTCGACAACGTGCGGGACAATGTTAGCTGACATAGGGTCAGGTTGGAAAAGAGTTAGCCAGTGGTGGTCAGACCAAAACATGGCCTCACCAGTCAATGAAATCCACAACACTTAGTTTAATCCAGCCAGCCACGTAGGAAGGTGTAGACTTCCTGACTGGTTGGGGTTTTCAGGACGGTAAAAGCCAATGGTTGGAAACAGTTGGTGATATGGCTCAAAATCGTTCTTGGTGATGGCTCGCGCAGATGCATCCACTCCTTGTGACTTATGATTTTCAATGAAACTATATTGTTCTTCATTGCTGCTATTCCTTTGTCTCACACCTCTGTTTCTACCTCTATTATGCATCTCTTTTACTTTCTTCTGTTGCTTTGTGTGCTACATGGAGGGAGTGTGGCGACTTTAACTGGTGCACATATGTGCAAAGTTCTATGTCGAAAACAGACAGACCTTGGACAATCATCTTCGAATGTTTAGCATGCAATATCACTGTGCAGGATTCATGTACACCGATTCCAGGTTAAAGATAGTGGTAGTGAAGTGGTAGAACGTGCTGACCACTTCACGTATTCGGGAAGTTGAATTACCCCCGTCCCCCCCAAAAAAGACTGATATCTGACGAAATCTCAGCGCGGATACAACAGCCTAGTGTAGCATCTCTGGCATAGACGAGATATCGAACTATCCATCAAAAGATGTGTGTGTGTGTGTGTACTGTGCACCAGTTCACTCTGTCGTCCTCCTTTATGATTATGAGACGTGGTCGTTGAAAATGGAAGATAGGAAAAGCCAGGCTAGCTAGCTATCTTTGATTATAGGTGTCTGTGTTCTACCTTTCGTTAGTTAGTTAGTTGGTATAATTCGGTGAATAATATTCAGGTATCGAGGGGGAAGTTAATCAATTGAAGATGGCTAGACAATGTGTTACGCATACTTAGCTGTCGTCGCCTTCCTCAACCAGAAATTTTAGCTGACATAAGATGAGGTTGGAAAAGAGTTAGTAGTAGGTTGTTAAACCAAAACATGTAATTAGTCCATGAAATCATTGGGAGTTAGGTGTAGACTTCCTGAGTGGTTGGAACCATAAAGATTTCAAGAAGCAGTGGCTAGAGAGACAACTAGTGACATGGTTGAAAATCTTTCTCGGTGATAGTGCGGATGCATTCACTATCTCTGTAATCTGCCATATCTAAAAAGAGCCTCTTGTTTTTCTATGTTACTATTCTCTCTGTCTCACATTTTTGCTTATTACCGTTCTCCGAAATCTCTTTTTTCTATTTTGTCTTCCTTTGTGTGGTACATGCAGGGAGTGTGTGACAAGTTGGACTGGTGCACTCTTGTGAAAAGTTCTATGCTAAAACCAGTCAGTCTGTCTTGAAGTTTGTTTACTAGCTATTGACTGTCATGACACGAGGTAAGAATGATCAACCTCTCACTAAGGAGGCACATTATATTAAGAAAACCATTGTACTATTGTTCATATACTTCCAGTTAATGGATCATGCTTTTGGATCCTAATCTACTATTTGTAACCGTTATTGTCAAACATGTGATTATTATTATTATTATTCCCTTTGGTTCCGAGTGGAACATATGACTTCAACAACACAACTCCTCCCTCTTCTATTCTCTTCACCTGGCTAGCCCTACGATTCCCCATAATCTCTCATCTCCTCATCCAACTCTCCCACACAATCTCCACCATGTCGCCCCCGCACCGACGAACCATTCGCCGTCGCTTCTCATTGGGATTCCACTCGAGCGACGGCCTGCATTGCGAAAAAAGCCTTATTCTTACAAATGCAGTTCCTTGGGGACAAAACCAGTGAGATACTAACACAGCGCCTTGGAATTGAGGTGGTTGAAAAAGAGCATTCCCTGCTGCCAAATTACGCTGTGTCTTCAAAACCACTCCTCTTTTGCGTTCGGGAGTAAAAGACAAACTGCCTAATTTCGCCTCTTCCATGTGTATCTACCAATTTAACTGCTCCTGTGAAGTAAGCCAGTTACTTGCAAAGGCCGTACACAATTAGGCGTGTTTCTCATCGAATTTCCGAACATCACCTTGCACAGTAGTTGGTTAAGTAAAGGACAAACAAAATCTATTCGCAGCGGTATTCTGTCTCATCCTGTGGATACAGAACACAAGATTGACGTTAACCATGCTTTCAGAATAATTTACACATACCTACGAATCTCAATTTTGCCTTAAGAGTTCGACTACTAAATATTTCTGAGGCTGGCCTGGCTGTTAGGATCTACATAAACAAGTGTAATTTGTGCATCCAAAAGAAGTTGGTTCGTTTAGGCATTATCCTTACCCTCTTGGCCATCTAGGTTTGAATGATCCTCAATTTTTGTGAAATTTTCCTCATTTCAGTTGATATTCTATTTCCTACTATATCTTTATTATTATTGCTATTATTATTACTATTTAAGCATCTTTAATGAACTGTAATTGCATTATGATCTTACTTAACAAATGATATTATTTAACAAACACTAGTATTGTTACAAACATCATGCAGTTCTTCCGATTAATAAACTTGAACAAAGCATTCAAAGGTGATGATACTGCTAGTAGAATAAGATACAGACTGAACGCTGCCATGAATAGAATATATCCAGCCGCCAGGCTTGAATGTGTTTATCAAACAACTAGTAGTTGTTTGAGACAATCAAAAGTGGACAAATACCCACCTCATTTTACCTCCAAATGTGTCTGCCAATTTACATGTACGTGCCAAAGCACGTAACATTGGAAGAACAGAGAGAGGTGGGTTAGTGTCCGCATTTATGAACACATACCAAAGAACCTGAGACTGAGAAGTCCGCAAGCATTGAACATTGCGATACACGTTATCTATTGGACACTGGTCCTATTGTAGACAACCTGAAGTCGTTTGAAATAATCAACAAGCAAAAGAAACCTAGCTTGCTACGCTTTGTTGAAGCAATTGTCATCAAACGACTTTAATCACCGAATCTATGTACGCAGAAAGAGACAGTGGTGAATCTTGCACTGCCCTGGTGATAACACATATATACGCAACCCTATTTTCTTTGTTTCCAAGCCTAATTGTCTAATTATTCTATAAATAGTCAGTGTTTGTAACTCCTAATCAGTTAAATCATTCCGGACTAATGTTACTTTTAATTCCTACCAATTACTCCTTATGATCGTGGAAAAGTATGTTCATATCTTTAATGTAATTCATATTTTTTAACGTTCAGGTTGTAACCAGTTGAGAAGAATCCTCGAAATAATAATAAAAGATGAGCTCATATTATCCTGGTACAATTGTTGTTCTTGCTTTGTTCAAGTTTACTAATATTGCTATTGACTACTAATCTAGAATATTCTATGTATATAAATATGCATATATAATTGTAGAGCTAGAAGAGGAATTTATCGAAAATGGTATTCTTTCCACAATTATTTTGTATTAGAGCAGAGTCAGAGTGAGATTAGGATCTATCTAATTGGAGAATAAATATTTCTTCATTCGCCTAATCAATCCTTTCGCTTTTTATATTTCTTTAATCTGTTTGTAGTAACCCTTGTTTATATTATTATTATTATTATTATTGTATCCTTTAGTTCCTAGAGGAACATAGGGCTTCAGCTGAGCACCTCCATTGCCTTCGGTTTTCTGACAACTTTTTCACCCTGCTCCAGGTATGTCCACATGCTTTCATCTCCTCCTCGCATGACCTCCTCCAAGTCACCCTTGGACGACCAACTCGCCGCCTCCCTTTCGGGTTCCACTCGAGGGCTTGTTTAGTGATATCACTTGATGGTTTCCTCAGCGTATGGCCAATCCATCTCCATTTCTTTCTGCCTATTTGTTTCACAATCGCTTCCTGATTGGTTCGCTCCCTTGTTTCAGTCAATTTAAATTCGATAAAGAGTGTTTTTATGTCACACTGATTTTGTCTGTTTTGTTTATTTATTTCTTTATTTTTTTAATCTTCACTTCAGAGCTTGTTCGACAGGGTAATCTACGCGTACACAAACTGCGTTCTTTAGTTTTGGATGAGGCTGATGAAATGTTGAACAGAGGTCTGCGTGACCAGTTAGAAGAAATATATCGTCGTCTTCCATCTCATATTGGCTTGGACAATAGGAAATCTCTTGACTGTCAGGTGGTGATAGTTTCAGCCACTATGCCTAAAGAACATTTGGAGCTGTTTCAAAATTTCACATCCAATCCTGTTCGAATTCTTGTACCAAGGTGATTTTCTTTATTTTTGCATTAGGTGGTGTACGTCAAGAATGCCCACTGTCCCCATTTCTCTTTAATTTTATCATAGACGCATGTGTTAAATTGAATTAACCCTAACTGACTTCAGGGACTCAGGGATCCACTTTTTGCCACCAGAGAATAATAGTCTCGTTGACATAGAATATATATTGACGATGATATATTCCTCCTAATTGGATGAACACGCTGACAAAATAGAGCAGAGTCTTCTGAATACCTTGAGTTGGAGCAGCAATCTTCGAATGCATGTTTGGCATGGGAGCGATTCTATCATGCTGCTGTCGAAGGTAAGATGATGAGGCTACAGGACTGGACTGGACTGGACTACATCGACTACTCCTCACTTAAAGATAGATAAACAGGAGTGAAGGGATGGCTGACTGTCTGGCTGGCTGGGAAGTTGCATCAGCCAACTCCAGCGGGTTCATCGCTGACGAAATCTTAGCACAGAGATATAGAAGGCTCGTTTGGCATTTTTCAGCCAACCCAACTAACGCCATCTCTGGTATGCTTAGTAGACGTCATATTCTGCTGGCTGGTGGTTGACTGAGACATGTCCATTGAAAGTGGAGGATATGACAAGCCAGACAGGCTGGCTAGCTGTGTTTGATCGTAGGTGTCTGAGTCCTATCCACCTCGCGTGTCAGGTGGCATAGGTGGTAGGTGTGTAACAGGGTGGTGAGCAATATTGGGTTGAGGCACCGGTCAGTCGACTGCTAGGTAAGGAAGGAGGAGGAGGAGGATAAGTCGAAAATGAGGTTGTGAGGCAGTTACACCGATTGAGATGGTTGGGACAAATGTTACGCATACATGAATAGCCAACACCTTCCTCAATCAGCGTCGGTAGCACAGCGGTTAAGAGTCTCACCGACCATGCACACATGGTTCGGGGTTCGATCCCCTGCTAACGCACACCTGATATCAATGGTTGGTCTGCAGAATTTGGGCTACCGATATCATATGCTGAAAATTCCATACTTGTACCAAAAATACTGTGTGGTTTCAAGCTATAATAAAAAAAGTAAGCTAGTGACTAACATAAGATGGATCAGGTTGACAAAGAATTAGCTATTGGTGGTCGTCAAACCAAAACATGGCTTTGTCATCAGTCAATGAAATCCACAAGAGTTACTTTAGGCCTGCCAGCCAGTCATGTAGGGAGGTGTAGACTTCCTGACTTTCTGCTTGGTTTGGGTTGTCAAGATGGCGGTGGGAACAGGTAAAGGCTGGAGACACCACCTTGCTAGGCGACTCTGTTATACAATACTTTTAATAATCCATGCTTATACTACAAATCTGGCTTTTCTTTCTGTATCGAAATTTACATTAAAGATTATTACTATTTATTGTTTCCTTCAGTTCCTAGTGGAACATAGGGCTTCAGCCGAACGTCTCCACTGCATTCGGTTCTCCACCAACGCTTTCACCTGGCTCAGCGTCTGCCCACATGCTTTCATCTCCTCTCTCCATCACCTCCTCCAAGTCACCCTCTCACTGATGACCAACTCACCGATTGCCATTCAGCTTTCGCTGGACAAATAGCCTGGCGGCTTGTGATGTCACTCATTTGATGATTTGTTTCCTCAGAGTATGGACACAATCCAATCCACCTAACTCCATTTCTTCCTGCATACTTCTTGCACAAGTGGTTCCTGCTGAGTTGGGTTGGGTTGGTTCGTTGATTGCCAGAGATCCCTCCCTGTTTCTGATCTTTTCTGGCCGGCCATTTGATCTTGAGCAGAGAATTGAGCGTAGACAGCTGTTGATGAAGTCGTGTAGTTTGTTCGAAGTGCCCTTCGTGACGCGGTGCGGCGCGACATCAATTCTCTGATCCGTATAGTGAGTAGCACTGACTTCACATTGGAGTTGAAAATCCGGATCTTATTTTGCATGCTGAGTGCTGTTCATCTCCTCCACACAGACTTGAGAGTAAAAAAAGCTTGCCTTGATTTGCCTATCCTCGCTTTGATGATATCCTCATCAGTTCCGTCCGCCTGTAGTTGAAACAATACTTCGCAGGTAGGTTGGTGAAGGAGATTGCTTCTTCCAGGTTTCTGCCATTTATGCCGGCTGATTGTTGTCTGTTGTTGTTGATGCTGTTGCTGTTGGCCAGAAATCTTCATCATCACCTCTGTTTTCTCTATGTTCACCTGAAGTCCCATCTTCGATGCTTCTTCTGCCAACCTGTTGCTGACATTTCCATACGGATAAGAAGTCATTGATTGGAACATTAAAAGTGATATTGGTCAGGAATGATATACTAAGTTATTAAATAATTAGGAGAGTGAAAACGATCAACTATTTTCAGAAGAAATGCATGACTAAGCTGGGAAACAAAAGGACAGTAGAGCTCGACAAATAATATTTTGGTGTTTGAAAAAACAGAGTTAAACTAGAAAGAGCACAACACATAAAATAGGTTAAGTAACTACAGAAAATATGCCTTATAAAACAGGAAAACAAGGCTGGGTTTTTTTTAGGGTGAATCATGTTTAGATGGGACAATAAAATGCTTTTCTAAACAGGACAAAAGAAGACGTAATAAACCTTTTGCTTACTTTGTCACCACTAGGCCAGTGAAACATTCACCTCGTGTCTACATAGATTCGATTTTAATCGTTTAATGATGGCGATTATCTCGGGAAAACGTCGTGACAAGGTAAAGATAAATCACGTGTGGGTAGCTGAATGACGTGACACCAGAAGGTGTTCACAACTTGAAGACTTTGTCGTCCTTTGCTCACCTTTCATTAACCAAACCGTGTAGTGTTCGGCTGTGTGCGTTTATGGAGAACACGCGTACAACGTCCAGTGTAATCGTAGGTACAAGGGTCGAAATGTTCGAGATGTGAGGGAAAGAGATGCGGTCTAGAATGTGCCCTTGATGGCTGACCAAAGTCTTTGAGCTGTCAACAGATGGCGTGCAATCGTATTGTTTAATGCTTAGGGGCCCTATAGTCTCAGGTTCTTTTCAGTGTGGTTCAAAATGTGGACAACAACTCTTTTCTCTTTGTTCTCCCAGTATGTTTTTGTGCTTTGGCACGTCCATCTCAATTGGTAGACACAGTTGGAGGTAACGTGAAGGTGATACAAGTTCCGAGGAGTTTGTAACCAGTTGAGAAGAATCTCAGCAATATTTAGAGATAATAATAATAATTTTGCTTTATTCCTAAATAGTACTAATGATACAGCAAGGAATTTTCAGAATTCAGTACAATATTGCATCTAATTTACTCAAAATGACAAAAAATTATAAGCATTACATAATAATAATAACAAAGCATTATAGCAGCTATGTAGCAAATTACAGTATGCGATGAGGAGAAAAATATGCATAAAGTATAAAGTTGTAGTAATAATAGTAATACCAACTAAAAATAAAATCGCTATAATTAATTATAGCGTTACCGTTATAATTAAACGGTAGAAAGGGTGACAGCATAAAATTACAGAAAGATGGACGATGAAAGGGTCGATTCACTTTGCTAATTACATACTAACTTATATGTTTCACGTCTAACAGTGTCTCCATCACATAAAATGCGGGCTAAATAGGGTATTGTACAATTTCTGTGCTTAGTGGTTCGAGCATATAACTTCTTCTCATATTGACTTCTCGTCCTACCTGATGAGATGCAGGGGGTCTGACAGTACGGCCTTTTCCCATTTTGTACAGGAATTTATGTGTCGCTTGACTATAGCATTGGCGAGCTCATGCAGTGGCAGACCACAAGCCATACACACAGCATTTAATACCCTTCCGTAATATGATATAGTCTTTTTTGAGAAGCCCAGGAAAGATTAATGGAGAGCAATAGAGTACAATAGGTAAAATACAGGAGTTAACAAACTGCAGAAGTAAAGGTTGGTTGATACCTTGTTGTCTTAGCATTTTTTTAATGTAGAAGGTAAGACGAAACATTTTCTTAGAGATAGATAAGGTGATGTGGGATGACCATGAGAGGTCAGAGAGAACGGGAACTAATCCAAGGTATTTTTGATGCTGCTTGACTTGGTTTCAATTTCAGTGCTATTTATGTATGCTACAGGCATCATGGGAACTGACTAGTTCATGTATGTCACGTCGATGCTTGAAAGTGAAGTGAAGTTAACTGGCTGACATTTGGAAGGATTTAACATAAGACCATTTGACTTAGACCACTTATTGATGTCCAACAGAAAGCTATTAAGTTTGGAGCAGTCAGACTCGGAAGTGATATTTGACAAAGTTAGTTTCGTTTAAATGTGAGGCAGGTCGTGTAGGAAGAAAGAGAAAGGAGAAAGAAAAGGAGAGAAGACGGTACCTTGAGGAACACCGGCTTTTGTAAGCGAGGCAGTAGAAGATTTGCCATTATATACAGCTCATATTATTATTATTATCCCGGCACATTTATCCCTCTTGTTTTGTTCAAATTTTTCATTGGGAAGAATTGTATGAAATTTATAAATAATTTTTTTTATCTGGGACAACTGACATCACAATAAGTAGGTGTTCAACTCCACCTGACGGACGTCATGGTTTTTACGAAACACTACAAATTCCAATGAATGAGTGCTGTTTAGCATTGTCAGACTCACACACACACATGTATATGTCTTGCTCACTTATGTCTTTTTCACGTGTTCATCTTATATTTTATTTTATTTTTTTTATTGTTAGAGATGAGTTAAGCCTTTCTGGTCTTCAGCAATTCTATATTGATGTTGGCTCAGAAGAATGGAAATTTGAGGCGTTAAGTGACCTATTCTCTAGTGTTTGTGTTTCACAGACTGTTGTTTTTGTAAATACACGACGAAAAGTTGACTGGCTTGCTAGCCAGCTGAATCGAGAAGGTTTCACAGTCGCCTGTGCTCATGGTGATCTTGATCAAGTTCAACGAGAATCAGTTATGAAACAGTTTCGTTCAGGAGAATGGTAATTAATTATTCCTTTTTTTTCTCTTCACGGGATGCTTTTTCTTTACCTGTATTTGTTATCATAGCGGGTATTATAATTATTTTAGTATTATTCCCTAGGGTTCCGTGTGGAACATATGACTTCAAGAACATATATCTCCACTCTCTTCTATTTTTGGATATCGCCTTCACCCGGCTAGCCCTACGATTCCCCATAGTCTCTCTCATCTCCTTATCCATCTCCCCAACATCATCTCCATGTCGTCTTCGCTCCGGTGATCCAATTGTCCGTCGCTTCTCATTGGGATTCCACTCGAGCAATGTCATTCGACGGCCTCCTTCCTCAACGTATGCTCGATCACTCCATCTCCATTTTCTCCCGCATATTTGTTGAGCGGCTCTTGGTCGGTTCGCTCATCGCGAGCCAGAGTTTCCTATTGCCAATTTTTTCTGGCTGGCTGGTTATTGATCTTGAGTATGTAGCCGGCCGGCCGGCGAGCCAGCCATCGAAGGTGGCAGATTTTGACAACTGTCTGTAACTTGTTGGAAATTGCGTCGATTGAAATGATAATAATAAAGTGAATAAGAGTGAAAACTCTCAACGTGGACGTGAAGAACACATTTAGTATTCGCCAACTAGCATCAATCATCCTTTACCTCTACTTTCATATTCGGTCCATTTATTTATACATCAACGGATGTGTATGTATAGCTCACTCTATCTCACACTATCTAATGATTAACTGACTGGTTGCAACTGTACAACTTTGCACAGATGTGCACCAGTCCCAGTTGCCACACTCCTTCCATGGTGTACCACACAAAGCAAGAGAAGAGATAGTGAACAGAAATATGAGGCAAAATAATAGTAACATGGAGGAATGGTAGAGTTTTATTGGCTATGATAAATCATCACAAGGAGTGAATGCATCTGCACCCGCGCCAGCCATTATCGAGAACGAGGATTTTGAGCCAGCCATATCATCGATTGTCTCCAGCCTTCATTCATTGGTGTTTACCATCTCGAGGACCCTAAGCAGGCACAGTCTACACCTTCCTACATGACTGACTGGCTGGCTGGCTGGCTTGAACTAAATGTCTTGTATTTTATTGACTGATGATGAAGCCATGTTTTGGTTTGACCACCACTAGCTAACTTTTCCAACCTGATCCATTCCGTGTCAGTGGCTAACATCGGTCGAGGAAGGCGATGGCTAGGCAAACAGGCAGGCATGCGTGAGCGACACATCTCCTAACCATCCATCTGAATCGGCTGAACTGCTTCACAACTTCATTGTCGATTGATTTTCCCTCCTTCATCTCCAACAAAAAATGTGACGAATAATCAAATTGTAATTGTAGGGGCCAAGAGGTGAAGATTAGTATGAGGGTAGTGGTGGTGGTGAGTTGTCAAAAAGCATATTTGTCAGTGTTATTCAGTGCATAAGAGAGAAGTTGAATAAGTAAGTGTATTGAAGTTGCGCAATAAGATGAACAATTTATTGAGTGAGTTTTGATTAGGATGTACATGGAAATGAAGTAAAGGAAAATGTGCAATTATGTAAGAGTTGTAAAGAAGAATACAAAAGTTATAAGGAGTTAGAAAAGCAAGCACACAAACGTCAGGATAGTAGAAGTGGTTGAACGATTTTCTTTCGTATACATAACTCTAGTTTTTTCAGGTGAATGGCTAAAACCTTCAGCAGTACAAAGGAGACGAAAGCGTATTGCATTGACTGTGTAGATTAGTGTGAAGGAGGAGGCGTTTGTTGAGTTGGAATGGTTAGTGTTGTTGACAAGGTGTTCGATGATGATCACACTGTTTGTAGAGCCACTACTCTACCGTTTTGCCGTCATGCTGTGGGATAGTGTTCTCGGTTCGTTTTTGGACAAGATACGCGTCGAACGATGAATGTACCTGGCTGGCTCCACAGCATCAGGTAAACTGGTAGATAGCGTTACTGCGAAGAATGTTCATATGAGTCGTATTCTGTTCTCTGCAGTCACCCTCGGACACACGCTCAACTCGTCGTGTATCACTTGGGTCCCACTCGATTGATAGCCTGCATTGGGCACGATGTCATTCGACGGTTTTATCAGTGTATGTCCGACCCAGTTCCATTTCCTTTGCTATATTTCTTGAGCAGTAGGTTCGTGATTTATTTGTTTCCAGAGGTTCCGGTTGCCCATGTGATCTTCCCTACGGAGCCAGCCACCGAGGGCGGCTGTTGATAAAAGACCACAGCGGACCAAGTTTCTGAGGCATAAAGAAGAAGTGACTGTCTAAACAGACCTGTTGAAAATCCGAATTTTGTTGTCTATGCTGAGGATGAATTCACAAAGTTTCCAAACTCATTTCAGAGTGATGAATGTATCTGCCCTGCCTTTCTGATTGTGCTTTTGAAATTGTCATCCGTAGTTGAGACGATGCTGACTAGATAAGTGAGGTGAAGTAACCGCTTTCAAATTTCCTCCGTTGACGATAGTGATGATTGGTGCTTGCTGTTGTTGGTCTGTGACTGTCTTCACACATCATTTGTGTCTTTGTGTTCACTTAAATTGCTTTCTGTGCTGCCAACTTGTTAATTTTCACCTGTAATTCTTCGAATTTAACCTCAGTATGATTCATCATATATTTGGTCATTTAACACAAGAGATTAAACACAAACATTTGCAGTCAAACACAATTAGTCGTCCACTTTCAAAAGTCATGTCTCTCAGTCATAAAGAATTACAGATCGAACTGCTTCACACTACTCTCGTCAGAAGTCAAGCAATTAGCTATGATGAATTTACACGACTAATTTTAGTGCTTTGTCCTGCAACAGAAATAATACTGGCCAGCACTCAACATGAAAAACAAGATCCGGATTTTCAACTCCAATGTGAAGTCCGTGCTACTCACTATACGGATCTGAGAATTGATGTCGCGCCGCACCGCGTCACGAAGGGCACTTCGAACAGACTACACGACTTCATCAACAGCTGTCTACGCTCAATTCTCTGCTCAAGATCAGATGGCCGGCCAGAAAAGATCAGAAACAGGGAGGGATCTCTGGCAATCAACGAACCAACCCAACCCAACTCAGCAGGAACCACTTGTGCAAGAACTGTGCAGGAAGAAATGGAGTTAGGTGGATTGGATTGTGTCCATACTCTGAGAAAACAAATCATCAAGTGAGTGACATCACAAGCCGCCAGGCTATTTCTCCAGCGAAAGCTGAATGGGAATCGGTGAGTTGGTCGTCAGTGAGAGGGTGACTTGGAGGAGGTGATGGAGAGAGGAGATGAAAGCATGTGGGCAGACGCTGAGCCAGGTGAAAGCGTTGGTGGAGAACCGAATGCAGTGGAGACGTTCGGCTGAAGCCCTATGTTCCACTAGGAATAAAAGGAAACAATATTAATAATAAAATAATAGTTAATTGTCAGTTAATGATCGTCTATGCATTGTTCCGTTACTTAGAACGGTAACAACTAAAGAGGTTTCTGTTTTGTCCATATCCCTAGTCAATTGTTGCTGAAGTGATTCTACTGATTTTGACTCTTGTAGTAATTTCATGTATTTGGTTACCTTGATAAATTTCGGTAATAAAAGGAAGACAAAATTTGCAGTATAAAACGATTTCGTCATTCTATTTCACAGGTTCTCCTCACCAGCTGCAGACTACCTGAAATTACAGTGTTTATATAGATGATAATAACACTTAAATGTTTTTAGCGAAGAGATACTATAAAATTGACGCATCCAAAATGAAAGCATTACAATGTTTTTGTTTAAGTTTTCCTCATCAGTTTATACGCTTTCAAAGTTGAAAAGAGAGAAGGGGGAGGGGTAAGACAGAAAACAGAAACAATTCATTAACAGAACAGTGTTAGCTTGTGGCTTGTTCACATAGCAACTTCAAAAAAATCAAAAGTGGTTACAGTTTATGAGAATTAAGATTTGTTCAGTGAGTTGAGATCACTGAATTAGATGACCAATGTAATTAATGTAATCGAAATCAAAATTCAGTTACCGAGGCAGTTAGACGTTAATCACACTCCCTTTCTGTATGTATAAGTCTGGTTGGTTTAAATCGTTTGGCTGCGATCGTTTTGGCAAATCATAGTAAATTTGCAGTCTTTTGTCTATTTAATGTTTTGAAGGACTTAGAAATCTCTACGAGATGTCCAGTATCAACAATATGTCTGGTAAATGCACCCTGAGAATATTTGCTTCCTTTCAGACACAGGTTTCTTCGAATATGTTCGGAAAACTGGAGAAAAGCCCTTCTTTCGTAATCAAATGATTCAAACCAACGAGACTTATGCATACAGAAAGAGAGTGTGGTTAACCTCTAACTCCCTTGGTAGCTGAATTTTAATTTTGATTACATTAATTACATTGGTCATCGAATTCAGTGATCTCAACTCACTGAACAAATCTTAATTCTCATAAACTGTAACCGCTTTTGTTTTTTTTGAAGTTGCTATGTGAACAAGCCACAAGCTAACACAGTTCTGTTAATGAAATTTTTCTGTTTTCTGTCTTACCCCTCCCCCTTCTCTCTTTTCAACTTTGAAAGTGTATAAATTAATGATGAAATCTTGTAGTAATTATTTGGCTTTCCCCACTACTGAGTAACTTGATATGCCGTATGCTTTGAAAATTGAGTGGGTATGTTAGCGCTTTCATTTATTATCAGGTAGGTAGGCAGGTGAATGGATAGTTATGAAAGAAAGGGCGTTCAGCAAAGAGGTACTCCTCATTTCAGCGATATCATTCCCAAGCTGTACAATCCCATATACACACATATATAGTAAATTGCCTTAGCAACGAAAGAAATGTGTCTAAGGTTTTATCTTCCGAAATGTAAATTTTAGATAACGACAGTGGTAATAAGGGTTGGTGTGGGTGTGTGAAGAAAATAGTATACAGTTAAGAAACTAACAAATAAAATAAAAATACGTATTATTGATATACTGTATAAGGAGGGGACATCTGAGACCCTACATAGGATTCTTAATAAAGCAGGAATTAGGTTGGTGGCATTCAAACCTACAAACTCACTCAGGTAGGACAAGCTCTGTAGGTTAAAGGACCCCGTTGAACCAATTAGACAAAACAGGCATAATAATAATTTACAAAATACCCTGCAATGACTATCACTTAGGTCAACTACATAGGTCAGTCAGACTAGTAGATCGGGGGTAATCAGATTGTCGGAACATATGAATTTAGCTAAGGTCAGAATGGTTGACCCCACCCGAGAAGATAAATAATTTAGAAAAAAGCTCACCACTACATTGCACTGCATACATTATCACACAATGGCATGGTGGGAGAGGGTTAAGCATCTAAAAACCAATCTATGTAGGTGGAGAGAGAGATTGATTACTGAATCCTGGCTGGTTCATCGAGTCTGCACCCAACACAACACATGCAACAGAAATGACTCAATGCAAATACCACAAATATGTATGGAAGATATTATTACCACCAATCAGTCAGTCAAATCAGAAGAGGATAATAAATAATCTTAAATTGTATTCTATTTCAATTCAAGCACATCACAACATTCTGACATGCTACTTATTATGACTATAAAAAACACTCGTCTTATTTCCTACCTGATTGTACTTGATTGATAACACTCATATTATTATTATTATTTCTGGATGTACATTATCTTATATTGATTTTTATTCCAATATCTGGTCAATTCCAAACATGTATATAATTGAAGGGAAAAAGTTGTGTGAGTGAGTGACTTGATATGATTACGAGTAGCAGTAGTTTGTACTCGAAACGTGGTCATCTGTTAATATTACTGCATAACACTACACTGTGTGACAGTTTATCAAAATAAAATCTTATCTACAATAAAAATTGCGTATTTAGTGTTTAAATAGATGGCGTCCACTGTAGACATTTTATTGACTGAACAAACTTCTTCTTTTGTTTACAGAATTGAGGATTTAACATGTGATGAATTGCCATTGCTTCTGTGGGGTTTGAAGAAGTTTGATTCGTATTCCTTTAGTGAGATTCCCACTTTTTCTATAGAAAACTTTGAACTCCCTTTCTGTGTAGGTTAGCTGGGTGTCCTGATTCTATCAGATGTTCCAAATTCGAGCTTTGAGGGAGGAGCAAGGGGAACTATCTTCTCCTTTACAAAACCATGACTGTGGGTAAGTGTTCGATGATACACCTTTGGATAGCGAATACTGGGTACAACCGACACACCAAGGTCCACAGGTGAAGCAGGTGAATTGGTAGATACACATTGATGAGGCTGGTCTACAGAGGTAGCTTATCCACCTTCATGTTCATTATGGAATCATTGGTTTCGTAGCGAAAGTTATTCGAAGTTCAGCTGCGAAGAAGGTTCTCTTCAGTGAGCGAAACAATTAGTGGTTTCTCAGTATTTCTAAGGATGAGTCTCGATTGAATTGTAGATTCAAATAGCGAAGCTTTTTGGGAGCAGATATTGGATAATTTCATGCATATTATCGATTATTGATTATTTACTTGAGTTTTCATGTTTTTTGATTTCCTATTTTTAGTCGTATTCTCATCAGCAGTGATATGTGGGCTCGAGGTATTGACGTGCAAACAGTAGGGCTAGTTGTAAATTTCGACTTGCCAATAAACACCAGTGAATATCTGCATCGTATCGGTCGTTCTGGTCGTTTTGGACGTACTGGACTAGCTGTTAGTTTCATCGCCGGTGGAGAAGATCGTAAACAACTATTAGAAATTTGTAATTATTATCAAATCGCCATCCCACCAGCACCGGCACGTTTGGATAAAATGTTAGTTAGTAGGAATTCTGTTCAAAGCTGCTCATCTAAAGCGTTGGACCAGGCGAAAAGTTCCCTTCACCATCATCATCAAATCGCCAGCACTATGATCTGCGAGGAGGCGAAGAAAAAGAAGAAAAGAACAAAGAAGAGGAAGAAGAAAAAGAAGAAGGGGGAAAAGAATCTCTTAAACATTGTCAAATGAACTACTATATTGTATTTATTCCCGCTTTATTGTATAGATTATTCTTCATGTATCTCCCTTTTTATCTGTAAATTTGTATATTCATATTATGTAACCATAATAAACTGGATGATGATAAAATGAAAGCAGTGGGTTGAACTGAACCGTCCCAATAAAATCTTTCGAGGGATTTTGATATTTCGATGCTCACGTTTCATGATTCTACTGATGGTGTCTCCATACTTACTTGTCGAAAGCTGTTGACCTTTGGCCTGTCCGATAGCTGCTACTTTGACGTTGTTGTGTGGGCTTTCACATCGCAACGACCCAACAAACTACACAGGTTGGGAACTAGTGTTCCGACAGGTTCTACCATGCATGCGTTGATGATTGTTAGGATAGCGATTAGACTAAAAACAGTTATCGGCATAGTGTAAGTTGTTTTTTTGTTTACACAGTACTGGGGGTATGCCTTTGGGCAAAGTCGTACTGCCGGGGAATAGGGATGTAATAGCAGTAAGGTGGTGTTTCCCTCAGATGGCCAGCTCTGCTATCTCTCCCCTCTGGAGAGAGTGGGTTAGAAAAGGTCAACCCCAACAATTTTACATTCCGATTTACCCTTCGGCGGTCCGTAACCGACAGTAAGTTACTAATATGGAACCAATCCAAGAAGCCAGTTCATACAGGCCATGTGTGACTGGCCGGCCTCAAGCAGTTATTCCCTGATCTCTGTGGTTACGCAATACTAACTCTCTTTCATATACCCCAAGAATAAATCAACTACTACGGTTGTGTGGGGGGCAGTCGGAAAGTAACAACCACTCGCACACTTCCGAAAGCACACGAAGCCCCCTGCTGATCATTACCCTTCTTTATTCCTATCACCCTCATCATCTTTCTTCCCTACTACTGTGAGTACTATTCTGCAGGCTGGTCAGTCGTCTTCATCTCATTCTATGACCGTAAATAACGATGAGAGTATAAAAAAACACTCCCAATAGTCTCTTAATGCCATGCCGCCAACTTCGTATTAGAGCATTTGACGTCGGGACCCTCAGCCAAATCGGACAACAAGTATCACTAGCAAGAACTCTGGCATCTCGAGTCATGGATGTATGTTGTATTTCGGAGACGCGAATACAAGACCCGAGTGTGGGCATTTGCTTGACCCCACCCAGCCAACAAGGTAAATCTGTAAAATTCACTTTAAGAGTGTCAGGAGACCCCTCAGGTAGTTCGCGAGGACTCGCAGATGTAGGGATAGCCATTAGTGTGAGGGCGGAAAATTCCCTTCTTGACTGGATCCCAGTAGATAGTCGTATATATGCGGCCCGTTAAAAGAAGGAAAGACGGATGAACTAAAGGATGACTTCTACCTGAAACTGTCTAATTTGCTGCAAAAAGCAAAACGTTCAGATATAGTTGTTCTAGCAGGCGACTTCAATCCCCATGTAGGGAAGTTGTGCCAGACTGAGAAGTATGTAGGTGGTACGTATGGAGTTCCCTGCCGACAACGGTGATCGTCTTCTACAGTTTTGTTCAGATAATGATCTGTTCCTAGTCAGCACTAACTTTAGGCACAAAGAGAGACATTGTGTAGCCTGGCGACCTCCATCACCAGTTGAACGCTGGACTCAGATAGACCACATAGCCATAGGGTATCGTTGCTTGGGGGTCAGTAGAAGACTGCCACTCCTTCTGGAACATGTGCGTAGACTCTGATCCCGCTCTGGTTCGCGCACGTTTATGCTAACGATAAAACGGATATAAAAAATTGTTGGCAGCGAAGCAGTTACGTCCCCAACTAGATCGAGACTCTGAGTCCCTGTTTAAGGAAGAAATAGTGAAATGAGTATCTGAAGTCGACAGCAGGATTTCGCCTGAGGTGGCCTAGCACAACACATAGCTAGCTGTAGACACAGCTGTAAAAGCTGTTAATAACCTGAAACCTAAAATTATTAAGAGCCATTGGATTTCTACCGCCTCACCTGAACTGATTGACGCAAGAAGACTGATTCCGGGAAGGTCCGATTATGACGAAGAGCGAAAACTAATCAAACGCAAACTAACAAGAAGCCTTCGTAGCGACCGTGAACAGTGGTGGGTGACGTAAGCGGAAGAGATGGAAAAGGCACCGGCGATTGGTAACACTAGACAACTAATTACACTTATCAGGGAAACAAGTGAGAAAAATGACACCATAATTAGCTCCCAGGATAGACGACTAGACCGTTGGAAAGGACACTTTGAGGAGCAGTTTAATTGGCCTGCAGCCACGCCCAATCTACCGGACATCCACCACCTCCCTGAATAGGATATCCCGGTCGATAACTGCTACCTTGTCGTGGTGGTCGGGCTTGAATACCGCAATGACCCAACAAGCTGAACTGACTGGGACTCTGTCTCTACAGGTCCTACCATGTCAGGAAGGTTTTCTGGATAGCGGTTAAACTAAAAGCAGTTACCATGGGGTACATGGGCTCCAGTTTCCAATCGGATCAAATGGCGTATGAACCCATATGGGTCACCGGCAACCATGGGAATGCAGCTCCTGACGCTGCCTTGCGGATTAGACTCCAAGTCAAAGGCTCGGGGGTGGTCCCTTAATAAAACCACCTGCTTCGGTCTGGGCGCCCGGGCAGTATCTCAGCCCGCACACAATGAATGAATGAATTAAAGCAACGAACTCCCATTGAAACTCAACGCGCGCTAGTAAAAATGATTCCAAGCAATATTGATCCCTCAAGGAACTTATTTCCTTCCTACCTACTTTTATTTTTATACATAGTTTCCTGTATTTACCTTTTCTAACCTTGGCTTCTTAACCTTCGACAGCCTTTCGCCTTTGTCGAGATTCCCAGCCTATCCGTGTCGTTTCGAGATGTTAGTGAGTAGTCCTCAAAATGGTTGTTCCCAATGTGACATCTAACACAGATATCCTGAAACCGCGTGCTGCGTTCAAGCTGGCTACCTACAATGTTCGGACGCTGATGCAAATCGGACAACAGGCAGGGTTGGCAAGAACTTTGGAAAGCCTCGCTATCGATGTCTGCTGCATTTCGGAGACCCGCATTCAAGATCCCAGTGAAGTGCTTCGACTATCCTCTCCATCTGGAAGTTCTAGTAGTATGTACCACCTGCGCTTATCCGGGGACCCTGTGGCGTCGGCATCCGGCGTAGCTGGTGTCGGTGTCGCACTGAGCGCTAGAGCCGAAGCTGCACTGCTCGACTGGATTCCCATTAACAGTCGTTTATGTGCTGTGAGGCTGGAAGGTTATACGAAAGTAAGGAGTAGTAGGCCAGATAGGCGGTGTCTATTTGTTGTCTCTGCCTATGCACCGACGGATTGCAGCCCGGATGCAATGAAGGATGAGTTTTACTACCAACTGAGCGATCTCTTGAAACAGGCGGGTCGGAGGGATATCGTAGTGCTGGCTGGGGACTTGAATGCACAGGTGGGGTGTCTAAGCTCAGAGGAGAATCGTCTAGGTGGTCAGTGGGGACTACATGGTCGCAGGTCAGATAATGGGGACCGTCTTCTGCAGCTTTGCGCGGATCACAACCTATTTCTAGCTAGCACCAACTTCCGGCACAGCCATCGCCGTAGCGCTACCTGGCGTCCTCCCTCTGCGAAGCAAGCTTGGACTCAGATTGATCATATCGCGGTCAGTTTCCGGTGGCGAGGATGCATACAAGACTGTCGCTCCTTCTGGAGCACATGCCTGGACTCCGATCATGCGTTAGTGTGTGCCAAGTTCGTCTTGCGATTTGGTGGGGTTCGTAAAAGCCGTCGTCTAAGCGTTGATGTGAGCAAACTAGTAGCACCTGCTACTTCTTTGAAATATCAGAATGAGTTAAAAACAATGCTTGCCAGCAACCCCCCAAGTAGTATAGATGAACATTGGCTTCATGTGCAAGGTGCCATGCAAAAGGCGAGTGTAGCCGCTTGCGGCTTGAAAGAATGCTCCGCTAACAACCACTGGGTTTCTGCGAGTTCCTTGCAACTCATGGATGAACGCCGGTCCATTCCGGCTGGCAGCGAATACAACAATCAGCGAAAGGCGCTCACGCGCAAGATTAGACAGTGTTTACGTAAGGACCGCGAAGCCTGGTGGTCAGAACGTGCGTGTGAGATGGAGTCAGCTGCTGCATCTGGCAACAGTCGGAAGCTGTTCCAACTCATACGAGCCACCGGCAGCAAGAAACAAGGTGTCAGCGAGACGGTCTGTGAGGCAGATGGCACTCCAATTACCAGCCTGAAAAGACGCCTGGAACGCTGGGCAGAGCACTTCGGGAAGCAGTTCAGCTGGCCACCAGCTTCAGTGTCTACTATCATTAGCCCGAGTGCTCCTTGGTCGGTTAGTACCGACCCACCCACCGAAGCGGAGGTCCGTAAGGAACTCCAAGTTCTGAAACGCCATAAGGCGCCCGGCCCAGACAAATTACCCCCGGCTCTTTTTAAAGATGGTGGCGAGACTCTCACAATGGCTCTAACTGGGTTGTTCAGGAAGGTGTGGGAGACAGAGAGTGTACCATCAATGTGGAACGAAGCCATTATCGTCCCCATCTTTAAAAAGGGTCGACGTAATTCGTGTGACAATCATAGGGGTATCAGTCTGTTACCAGTCGCGTCTAAAATATTGGCTGCTGTCTTGCTTCGCAGACTGTGCAAAATACGTGAAGGATTGATTCGCGAAGAGCAGGCTGGGTTTCGTTCAGGTCGTGGATGCATTGATCATGTGTTCACCCTTCGTCAGTTGTTGGAACACCGCCACACGTATTGCAGGCCAACGATCGTTGTGTTTCTTGATATTAGGGCTGCCTTCGATTCGTTGGACAGAACTGTGCTCTGGAACTGTCTGTTAGAGAGAGGTGTACCTGAGAAATTTGTTAACATCCTGAAAGCCCTATACAGAAACACCTCAGGTAGAGTGAGGGCATACAACCAACTATCACCACTGTTCCCAACCAACAGTGGGGTTAGACAGGGTTGCCCAATCTCTCCATTTCTCTTTAACTTTGCCATCGATGACATTCTGGAGTCAGCTCTGAAGGATGTGCGTGAAGGTGGTGTAGATCTGCTACCTGGAGA